CTCCTATATTTAGGTCATTGACCCAGTTATTTGGTATTATACAGTGTGAAACAGGGATATTTTTTAGGAGGCCCCAGTCCCACAAAATTCATGCCCTGGGGGGGGGGGGGGGGGTTTGCTCAGCCCGGTCTGCACCCTCCCGCAGTCCAGGAGACCTCAGGGGATGTCCGACTGATGGCTTAGGCCTGCTCCCCCCACAGCCAGACACCCTTAGCGCTGCGGCAGAGGCGGGAAAGGCTCCCACCACCACCCCTGCGCTCACCAGGCTCACCAGCTATGAGCCATGCTTCTGCTGCACTGACCACCAGGGGGCAGCTCCTGAGTTGAGTGTCTGCCCCCTGGTTGTCAGTGTGTGTCATAGCGACTGGTCATTAAGCCATTCAGTTGATTTGCATATTATCCTTTTATTACATAGGTTTTTTGGTTATTTTTTAACAAGTTAGAGTCAAGTTTTATTTTGAAGGAGAAATAAATATGACTGGGTAATGACTTGGTGCCTGGGGGTAGGATAAGAATGTTGAGTTTCTTGTTTCCATTTCTTGGGGATGGTGATACATGGTATTTTTAAATTATTGCAAAACTTGTGTCCAAATCACATTATTCACCAATTTTTCATCTACAATGTAACATTTAGTAATTGTAGACAATATGCTTTTAAAAGTAAACAAAAAAAATCCTGGGAATTCTATCTAATGATAATATAAATTCAATAATAATAATTTTAAGAATCTCAAAAATAGGTAAGAATTAGCAGGTTTGGCACAGGGATAGAGCATCAGCCTGTGGACTGAAGAGTTCCAGGTTTGATTCTGTTCAAGGGCATATCCCCGGGTTGTGGTCCTCAGCAGGAGGAGCCGATCAATGATTCTCTCTCATTGATGTTTCTCTCTCCCTCTTCCTTCCTCTCTAAAATCAATAAATATATATATTTAAAAATAGTAAGAATTAGTACCTACAATCACAAGACAGAAAGCACTTCTGTTGAAATAACCTCATCTCTTTAACCTCATTTAAACTTCAATCACAGTAACTTGCTATTGAAGAATGAGACCTAAAAAATTTGAAAGCTAAAAAGATGAGAATCTCACATTCAAATAATTACCAGCTCATTCCAATTTTCTATTTTATCCTTTTTATTGCTTGTAGTTTTTGGACAGGACAAACCTTATAGTTCTCTGATTCAGTCTCTAGTGAGAGGTCTTAAAAGTGTCCTTATAAGAATTTTGCTAATAATCTCATGTAGAAACCTTGACCACGCCAGGGCTCAACTATCTGGTTGAGTATCCTCACGTCCGTTCCCCCTCAAGGCCCATGTAGCCTTACTTTATAATCCTAACTAAGATGGTGACCAGATTTCCAAGCCAACAGCAGATTGGAAGGGGACAGGATAGCTGATAACGAGAAAACAACAGAGAAGATGGAAAACCTTAACAATTCAATAACTATCGAAGTCTGGGGTTTCTAACGAGAAATTCTGAAAACACCAAAGCCTAATCACAGAGACTGAGCCATGTCATCAAAACAAAAAGTTTGTTACAAGAGATTTTTTCTTTCCATTATTTTTGAGATGCAACAGTTTTATATAGGAAAAAAGTAAGAGAAGTACCAGTGGCCGTTTAATTTACTGTCCATTTCTGAGTGGAGTGTGCCATTAAATGGCTTAAACAGAAGTTAGAGGCATTTTGGACCTTCTGCTCTTGTTACACCTCCAGCCTTTCAAGGTCCTACTCGTTCAGTACCGTATTTCAGGACCATTTCAGGATCGCACTGGAAGACTAGATCTTCAGCTACCAACACCTTTATTTCGTCGCTTCCAATGCCCCCACGGCTGGCCCTGTGACTGCCAGGCCTGCGGGGGCTGTGGGAGTAGCTGGCCAGCCCCCTCTGAACCGGGAGTCAGCACCTACATCTCACCAAGACCTCGGGATTCGCGCGCACATGGCAGTGTGAACGTCAATGCTCTGCAGCTGTTCTGACCATTCAGGAATACGCAGCTGAACTTTTTTTTTTTTTAAATCCTCGCCCGAGGATATCTTTCCATTGATTTGTAGAGAAAGTGGAAGGGAGGGGAAGAGAGAGAGACAGAGAGAGGGAAACATGGGCAGCCCAGCCGGGGCGAGGTAGGAACTGCAACCGAGGTAAGTGCCCTAGACCAGGAGTGTCAACGCGCAACGCTTAGGTCCCCGGGCCGATGCTGTAACCGTTGGCCCACCGGCAAGGGCTTACCTTTTTTTTTTTTAAACTTTTTTTGAGTAAATGAGAATGATGAAGATGGCTCATAACTTTGATAGCATTTTGTAGGGAGCTACTACTGCGCAAAAGATTAAGAATCACTGCATTATTATGCCAAACACCAAGACCTCAACTCCTACCGATTAGTTCAAGGCCCCAACCCCATCGCAGCTCGGAGAAGCCGCCTCCTCCCACCCGCAAGCCCACGGCAGGTCCGCCCGCTACCCGGCCCCGCCCGCACGCCGCACGTGGTTCTCAGGGAGACCCCGAGTTCCCAGTAATTCCTAACCGCGCCCGCCGCCTGCTCCTCGGCAAGCTCCGTCCCACCAAGGCCGCCCCTCCCCGCCCCCCGGTCCGGGTTCCCGCCACGGCCTTAGGAAGGGGAGCTCCCAGGGCTGCAATCTCGGCCGGTTCCCAGGTCTTCAGCCCCGCTGACCCTCCCAATCTCCTCCTTGGAACTAGATAGGCGCGCAACTAAGCGACAGCCCAGTAAAAACATTCAAAACCCCCACCAAACTGTGTTCACTATGTTCCCGACGCGCCGTACCTGAGGGCCACGACGGGAGCCCGTGAAGAACCGCACACGAGGCGCCCGGTGACCGAGGTGACGCAAGGCCGGACCGCGAGCTGAGGACGTCACCGCACCGGCCAATCAGCGCGTGACGGAGGGCACCAGGCAACAAACCCAACGCCGATTGGATGCTCTGGGCTCTAGGGTCAGGCCCTGCGGTGCGTGCTGGGAAGAGAGCTGGGCGATTCCGGAGTGGGGACTGGTGGTGACAGTCACGCAGTGGAGGCTCTAGGGCTGCATCCAGACTGGGAGTTGTCACTCAGGTGTTCGCGGTTGTCAATGCTCACCTCCCCGTGCAGGGGACCAGTCACGTCCCCTGGCAGTGGCCTCGGTCATTGTACTGGGGGGCTGTGAGCACCAGTCCCCAAAGCAGCCTGGGCTCTAGGGCTGTTTTTCAGTCTAGTGCAGACCTTCACCAAATTACCCAGGAGCTGGCAAAAATGCAGAGGCCCAGAATACAGAGCAGGCCTGCTGGAACTGTCTCCGGACGTGGCTCACAAAAAGCAACATTTCTGCCCTGTCCGGGCACTCAGTTGATTAGAGTCTCATCCCCATAAACCAACATTACAGGTTCCATCCCTGGTCAGGGCACAGACAAGAATCAACCAATTAATGCATAGACAAGTGGAATAATAAGTAAATGTTTCTCTCTCTAAAATGAATCATTTAAAAAATTGACCTTTAAACAAAGCCGCACTTTAACAGGCACCTGGACAATTCTGATGCACACTGCAATTCCTGACCCGCCCATCTGAGGAGACCCTGCTGTTTCTCAGAAAAAGGTGGAGGCCACTATGCTATGTCTGAAAGGAGCCGGAGAGGGTGGTCAGTGGTGTTCCAGGGAAGCTTCCCCTTTTGTGTCCTTCAGTGCCACCTCCAGAGTGTTAAGTTTGATCAAATAATTGAATGGATACTCCCTCCCCTGGCAACTGACCTTTACACCAACATTCCCTTTTGCTCAGCACTTGCTAAGACCACAATCCACTTGCTAAGACCATTATCTTTCTCCTTAGGACCTGCCCAGAGAATTTTCTGCCCAGAAAAAGCCCGCCTAGAGTCCTTTAAAAACTCGGACTCCCTGACCCTGGGGGCTGGCACCATATCGGGGCTGGCACCATTTTTCCAGATGACCAAATTCATAATTCTTTACCCCTTTTGGCCTCATGTGTTCCTTCTTCAGCGACCCTAACATTTGGTGCCAAAACCTGGGAGGGATCCATGGGGAAGGGGAGCCATCGCCCCAGCTTTAATCACCCTGAGTTTGCTACTTGGAGAACAATAGGCAGTGGCAGCTCAACCTGGGCTTACCTCCAAATCCTACTTGGGTGACATGATTTCCAGCCTTGATTAGGCCTCCCTCCCAACCAGCCAAGAAGGGTGCCAGATTGGGGACCACTCCTTCCCATTGCTGACCCCCCACTCAACCCCAGTTCATTTCATCTCCGGGAGGTGACAATTGGATCACCCCTCAGTATTTTTGATTTGTTGTCATCTCAGACAAAAGACCTAGCACTAGGCCAGAAATCCTCTTCAGTTTGGCTTCGGCCCTGGGACCAGGTTCCACAGTCTTCCTTGTCACAAGGGATGCCTGCCACATGGATTAGACTGTCCTCCTCTCTCCAGAGCCTGACTAGATGGTGGGGATGCCCTCCCTCTAGTCTTGCTCCCCGGGTCTCCCTGTGTTGCTTTACCTCCTCTTCCTAATTTACACCACAGGGAATTTTTTTCCATCCCCCCAAAAACCACTCCTCTGGCATGTCTCCTCCATATCTGAACACACTCAGCCTTTCCATGGAGGTCTGGACAAAGCACCTTATCCACAAGATAAATTAGACAATGATTCACACTGGCCCAAGATTTTTAACCTTCTCCAGGACTTAATTTCTGTCACTGCAATGGGAAGTTGTCAGAGATCCCCTACACCCAGGCCTTCTTTACACTCTGCAATTACCCTTCTATCTCCTCCTTACCAAGCCCCACTCTTACTTGTTCCCAGATAACCCAGCCTCCAGCCCCCCGTCCTGCCCTTCTGAGAGGTGGCCAGGGCCGAGAGTTTGGCCAGGTACACATCTCATTTTCCATGTCCAACCTCACACAGACTGAGAGGCATCTCAGGTATTTTTCCACCGACCCCACTACCTTTACTAAGGAATTTGAGTACCTGACCCAGTACATGACCTGATCTGGCATGACATCTGTGTCATCCTGTCCTCTCTCACCCCAGAAGAGAAGGAGCATGTCTGGCTAGCAGCTCATGGCCATGCCGATGCCCTCTATAGAGAGGATGCTGACATGGTCCCCCAAACTGACCTGAGACTGGCCTATCAGGTTAATTCTCCAGGGCACTGCCTCCACAGCCATATAATCACCTGCCTCATTGCCAGACTCAAAAAGGACCCCACCTCCCCGGAATCCTTCTTGTGAACACTCATTTTATATCCAATAAGCCCCCAACATATGCCGCAAATTTCAAACATAGACACAGGTTCACAAACCTCTCAAAAAGACCCTGTTATCCTGGCCTTAAATGTCTTTAATAATAGAGACGAGGAGACCCAAACCCAAAAACAAAGGCAAGATCAGGCCAAGGCTAAAGCCCAAAAGAAGGCCTCAGAGAATGTTTGTGAAAGTTGTAAGAAGGTTTGTGAAAGTTATAGAAGGTTTGTAGGGAGAAATGTTAAAAGGAAGTTATATAAATGACACAGGCCAGTGAGCCAGGACAAGCAGAATAGAGAAACTGAGATAGTAAAAAGCAGTTGCAACTATCTAGAAAATCCAGATGCCAAACAGTCCACAGCCATCTAGTAAAGTCTATCTTCCTAAACCAACGATAATTGAAACTAAGAGAATAAGCCTCATTTTGGTATAGTAGACTACAACCATCCAAACTAATGTTTCCTTCCTTCCACCAGACCATAATTCTTGTTCTTCTAGCTTTTGCCTCAATAATAAAATTTATAAAACGGTTTGTCTCTACCAGGTTAGGCAGCTTAGACCCCTGATCTTTTCTTCCCTAAAAACAACATCTAGGTCTCAGTTGTATTTCAGCTCCAGGCCCAGAAAAGCAGCAAAACCAGACAAGTGACACTGTGGCAGCCTCAGGACCAGCTTTTACCTCCCAGGCACTCAACAGGACACTCTCCAGCCTTCACCAGCCAGTCTCTTGGGGAAATTATGCTACTGCGACCCCTCATCCAGTTGACTACCACCAAAGTCCATACCCCTGCCAGTTTGGCTTGGTGGATAGAGTGTCGGCCTGTGGACTGAAGGGTCCGAGGTTAGATTCCAGTGAAGAGCACATGCCCAGGTTGCAGGCTCGTTTCCCAGTAGGGGGCTTGCAGGAGGCAGCCAATCAGTGATTCTCTCTCATCATTGATGTTTCTCTTTCTCCCTTCCTCTCTGAAATCAATAAAACTATATTTTAAACAAGTCCATTCCCCTGTGATCTTGACATCCCCACTCAGCAGGAAGTAATTATGAAAAGATATGACTTTCATCCCTATTTCATAAAACAAAAAAGCTGGAATGTTAGGTTTGATCAAATAATTGAATGGATAACCCTACCCTGGCAACTGAACTTTACTCCACTTCACAACCAACATTCCCTTTTGCTCAGCACTTGCTAAGACCACAATCCACTTGCTAAGACCATTATCTTTCTCCTTAGGACTCGGATAGAGAATTCTCTTCTCAGAAAAAGCCACCTAGAGTCCTTTAAAATCTCCCACTCCCTGTTCCTGGGTGCTATCGGCATTTTGGGGCTCAACCATTTGGTTTCCAGATGACCTAATATATTCATCATTCTTTACCTCTTTTGGCCTTGGGCGTTCCTCCTTTAGCGACCCTAACACAGAGTTCTGGATTTTACTGCATAAATTATGGTAAATGGCCATATGGAGAGATAAAAAGAAATTTCTGCTAACCAGCCTTAAAAACTTTTCCCGTTATGAAAAAAAAAATTATTTGCTTATTTATCTGCTCACTTACTTGTTGTTTGTGCTGCATGTCTCCCTGGCACCTTAAGATCTGCTGGTTTGGATTTTGTGCTCATCCCCCAATAGAGGGCGTGCAGGAGGCAGCCAATCAATGATTCTCATCTTTGATTTTTCTCTCTCCCCCTCTAAAATCAATAAAACAGCTGAAACCGGTTTGGCTCAGTGGATAGAGCGTCGGCCTGCGGACTGAAAGGTCCCAGGTTCGATTCCGGTCAAGGGCATGTACCTGGGTTGCAGGCACATCCCCAGTGGGAGATGTGCGGGAGGCAGCTGATCGATGTTTCTCTCTCATCAATGTTTCTAACTCTCTATCTCTCTCCCTTCCTCTCTGTAAAAAATCAATAAAATATATTAAAAAAAATAAAATCAATAAAACATACATTTAAGAAAATAGGAGAGAATCTGGAGCCATGCAAAGGTTAGTAGACCTCAGCCTTTGGCACCAGAGACTATAAAGGAAATTCTAGGCCTTGACAAATTGAAAATAATTTTGCATTTTGCTTACTGTACCCATTAACAGTGACAAAACAACTACTAATTGATCTGGCCAAGAATATGTAGGAAGCACAACATTAAGTTTAAGAACATTTTGATAATCTGTGTAACATTCATTCAACAGTCAATTAGGGTTTAAGAAAACTCTACAAAGTATCAGGGATTAGAGTAAGGCAGGATTCATGTCCTTACTCAAAGGGGTAAATTGCGACTCAATAACTTAACTTGCTTGAAAACACACACATTTATCAGTTGTGTGTCTTCAGCTTCTTAACCAGAAGTACTTGGAGTGTATTTTAAGTCTTTGCATTCCTTAAGTTGCTACCTTGCCCAGTTCATTTTTATCATCCGTCTACACAGTCTAGCTTAGAACAGGGCAGAAGGCTCTTAGACTGATGAGACGAGGGAAAAAGGGGTAGGAGGATGAGTCTGATTACTTAAAAATTGTACTGAGACACACTTTATGGTATCGTTGGGAAGCATGAGAGGACTAAATATAGAAAGTTGAGCAAGTGAAAAAAAGATTCTAGGACAAGGTTAAATGTGGTCAAAATATTCTACTTGG